ATAAAATCAAGTATTTTATTGTGCACTAAATTGGCAACTCACATTAAATATAGAAATTGCTTATCAAAGTGTCATAAACAGTCCTTTAGATCCCACCTGGTAAAAACAGCACTGCCGCTTACTGCTTGGACAGGGCTGGAGATGATGGTCGGGTAATCCGGAGCCTCTGTAACCAGCCTGGGATGCACAGGGCGGAAGCCGGGATAATGTCAACCCCTTAAACCAGAAGAGAAATGTGGTGGAGGAGTGGCTGTACATTATTGAACATGTGTGTTTCTTCCTCAGGACATAGTAAGGGCAAGAATGACACTGATATTTAAAGGTGCCGGCCACTAAGTGGACTACAAAGCTCAGCAGCGCTGAGGGATTTACTTGGACAACATAAATATTCAGGCTGTCGATTTGTCTTCTTCCAAACTACTATAATCTGGAATCTTGTCAATTTTTTGAATTACATTCATCCATTCATCAGATGTTCAAAGAATTTTTGTTCGACTTTTCTTACGAATATTCTTGTCTGAAAATCTACATGTGTATGGCCAGTTTTAGATGTGGTGGCTGCATTGTTTTTCTCTTTTAGACTTTCTTTCCCTTATTTCCCCTGGTAATCTGGTCAGTAAAGCTGTCCATATATGTATAGATTTTCATTTGAGAATTTTCGTTTCAAGAATATTTGTTTTCTAATTGTTAGTGGGGTCAAACCGATATTTGTTTTCGAGAGCAGTGCAGGGAAAATTTGAAGGGACATGAAGGAAAACTTTCCTCGATCAAACACATTTTAGGCCAGTGTATGTGGTTTATGTTTAGAAATTACATTTATTTTAAAGTCGAATGTTAAAAGAAAAGACAGTTTTTGGATGTTCAAAGAATTTTCGTTTGACTTTTCTTATGAATATTCTCATACGAAAATCTACATGTGTATGGCTAGCTTAAGACTCTTGTTGTTCAAAATAGCAAGCTCTCTTGCAAATGTAGCAGTTGGAGAGATGAGAATATTTACCACCAATGGGGGTGCTTACAATGATCAGCTTGTGTTTATTTATGTTAAAACTTTATCCCAAAGGAAAAAGCTGTTTGCTGTAACTGCTTATAAAGTGTGAGCTGGAGTTTGACTTCAGTTTGTTAGTGTATTTAAATCTGCTAGTACTTCGTATCACTAGTACACACAATATGTTAGCGTATTTAAATCTGCTAGTACATCGTATCACTAGTACACACAATGAGAATATCAGACAAATGATAGCCCGTTTGTTTTTTTTGCATGCTAGTTTCACATAAAAATGAATAGGTTACTAAATTTACAAAAACTCTAATTAGACAGAATACAACTTCAGAAGTTATGTATTGTATTGTATTGTAATGTATTCTTTCATTCTTGGTTACTCTATTATTTACAGACGAATACTGCACTGAATAAACAAAAATTGTTCCTTCTGTTATCTTACAAGAAAAGTTTTTGTTCTTGTCCCTTTGGTTAATTTTCATGAACTGTCGTCATCGGCTCTCAAAAACTGTGCACTGATGATCAGATTATCGTATAAGCATTCCGAAAACCGTTTTTTTTTTGTCTGATATTCTCATTGTGTGTAGTAAACATAACACTCCCCACCCCCTAGATTAACAATGCTGCTGTTCAAAGGTGCCTCTGTGTTTCTCCATCCAGAGTGGAGGCACTTTAATACAGGAGGTGTTTTACTGGCTAGATTAGCAGGTGAAAACAGAGTGAAAAAGCCTAAAAAAAAACTAATGCAGCCACCATTTAATGGTTGGTAAGCTGCAATCTTTTATATTTTTGGTTTTGTGTTTAATACCATTTTATTTGTTTTTCCTCCCTGCTTTTATTTATTCTTTTTTTTAACCACTAGCCTACAGGGCACTTATACCCCCTTCCTGTCCAGGCCAATTTCCAGCTTTCAGCGCTGTCGCACTTTGAATGACAATTGCACGGTCATGCAACACTGTACCCATATGAAATTTTTATCATTTATTTTGTGACAGATAGAGATTTATTTTGGTGGTATTTAATCACCTCTGGGTTTTTTATTTTTTCTTAAACAAACCAAAAACCACTGAAAAATTTTTTTTTCTCTTAGTTATTGTTATAACATTTTGTAAATAAGTTATTTTTCTCCTTCACAGATGTGTGCTAATGAGGCTGCACTGATGGGCACTGATAGGCTGCACTGATGGACACTGATAGGTGGCACTGATGGGCCCTGATGAGGAGGCACTGGTAGGTGGCACTGATGGGCATTGACAGGCATCACTGATGGGCACTGAAAGGCAGCACTCATATATAGCACTGATAGGCAGCACTTATAGGTGGCACTGATAGGCAGGTCAGAAGAAATGAGGGAAAAGGGGGCGATCAGCGCTAAAACTGCTCAAAGTCCTGGGTAATCCTGGTGTGGGGTGATGGTGGTGCTATAGCTGTATGAGGAAGATAAGCGTGGGGGGGCCCGTATGGCACTAAGGGCAAGGCTTCCAAAAGACTGTAGCAGACTCTGTAGGATGAGAGAAGGAGAAGAAGCGCCTCTAAGTGCAGTATATCACTTTATTCAGGTGTAAAGGTAGGAACACTCACATAGATAAGGTAAGTATTAGCATAAAAACCGTGGTTGGTGTAAACATGGGTAAGGTGGGTATCGAGGGTGAAAAGCTGTCATCGGTGTGGGGTATGGAGCAGTCAGCGTGCCACTGGTGGCTGGAGGGGAACAGCTATGGAGCCAATCGGCGTGCACGTTCTCACTCTGAGCTGGGTGGAACGCACTTCCACCTCCCCCTGCTTGATAAAGGTGCGCACTTCCACTTTTCCCGGCCAGCGCATGATCCGAAACGCGTCGCAGTGCACCTTAGGTATCTGACGTCATCACAGCCACGCCGCCGCTGAGTTCAAGCGTGCGTGCCACCCGCCTCAGAGTGAGGACGTGCACACCGGTTGGTTTTTATGTTTTTTTGGTTGTTTTATTTTTATATTTGTCCTGCATGTTATATATGGTTCCTACTAGTTTAATATGGGCATGTGTGATATAAACATTCTCTCTATATTCATATACAGTTCCAAGAAAAAGTATGTGAACCCCTTGGGAGCATCATGGTTTGGGGCTGCTTTGCTGCCTCAGGGCCCAGACGGATTGTTGTCATTGATGGGAAAATAATTTCCAGAGTTTATCAAGACATTTTGCAGGAAAACGTACGACCATCTGTCCGCCAACTGAAGCTCCGCAGAGGATGGGTGATGCAACAGGACAATGACCCAAAGCATACAAGTAATTCAACAAAACAATGGCTGCAACAGCACAGAAGTGGCCCAGTCATAGTCCTGACCTCAACCCGATTAAAATGCTGTGGCATGACCGTTTAAAAGAGCGAATCACACCAGACATCCCAAGAATATTGCTACACTGAAACAGTTTTGTGAAGAGGAGTGGTCCAAAATGACTCCAGATCGTTGTGCAGGTCTGATCTGCAACTACAGGAAACGTTTGGTTGAGGTTATTGCTGCCAAAGGAGGGTCAACCAGTTTATTAAGTCCAAAGGTTCACATACTTTTTGCTCCCTGCACTGTGAATGTTTACATGTTATGTGCAATTAAACCATGGCAACATCTAATGTTTGTGTAGTATTATGTTCAGCAGACTGTGTTCTTCTATTGTTGTGACTTAGATGACGTTCGGAGCACATTTTATGCCCAATTCATGCAAAACTCCACGTAATCCCGTAATCTTTATTTCGTGCGGCTCCAAGGCTTCATATTGATCAATGTAATGTCCTTAGTTTATGTGCCACAAGAAAATGGCCGCTGGAGCACCGCCCAACACTCTTGATTGGTGCTGCTCCCGGCTTTATAAGGAAGTGCGGCCAACCAATCATAATGTCCTGATGAAGTCACAAGGTCACGTGACGCAACACGTCGACGGCATTCACGGGTGACGTACTTCCGGTGTGGCGCCATTTTTGAATACTTACTAGCGCTTTTTTCATGCAGAACACCTTGGACATTGGATTCTACCTTGATATATGATGTACATTGTACACTTTGGATTCTACCTTGATATATGATGTACATTGTGCACATTGGATTCTACCTTCATATATGATGTACATTGTGCACATTGGATTCTACCTTGATATATGGTTTCTACCTGATGCAAGCTACATCTATGTGAGTGCACTTTTGTCTTCCTTGATTTTATATGCCATTAAACAGTTATACACTATGGAGATTGTGTTCTCTCTCTGTTTTATGGGCATATGATCTCTATGAGAGTGCTAAGCTGCCTGTTAACCGGTTCAGTGGATCTATGAATTAGTGATTGCCTGCTAACATTGTCTGGGTCTTAGAGCGGTTGCTTTGAGGATCCAGAGGAGAGTTTATTTGCTTTGTGGCCCTGCAGGGTCATGAAGTGGAGGTGAGAGGCCTTTGCTGCCATTTCTTTGGGGTTCACATTGAGGGTGTGCTGACATCCACATCGTGCATGAACTGGAAGATCACTACACTGATTTATTGACTGTTTTGCCACTGCATTATTTAAATGTGATGTGTGTCTCACTTATTGTGTTTATCTGACCCCTCATTAGGGATTCACATCTGTGTGGATTAATATGGTGTCCTATTAAGACACTTGGGGGTCACGATTATTATATCCCCATGTGGATTGGGGGCACATTTCTTTGTGATCATTAATAGGTCTGATTCTTTAGACTTTTTTTATTTGTTTTATATTGTCTGTGTCCATATTTTGTTTATTACCGATGATTGTTTGTTTTTATCAGCGCTGCATCATTATTATGTTTATTTGGTTTTTATGCTAAAACTTACCTTATCTATGTGAGTGTTCCTACCTTTACACCTGAATAAAGTGATATACTGCACTTAGAGGCGCTTCTTCTCCTTCTCTCGGCACTGACGGGCACTGATAGGCGGCACTGATGCACACTGATAGGCGGCACTGACTGGCACTGATAGGTGGCACTGATTGGCAGCACTGATAGGTTGCACTGACTGGCATTGATAGGTGGCACTGATGGGTGACACTGAAAGGCAGCTCAGATGGGCACTGATATGTGGCATTGATGTGGACTAGTAGGCACTGATATATGGCATTTATGTGGCACTGATGGGCACTGGCAGGTGGCATGGATGAGCACTGACAGCTGGCATTGATGGACACTGACAGCTGGCACTGATGGACACTGACAGCTGGGACTGCTGGGGCTACACAGATCATCAGGGCACACTTATCATCAGTGCCCTGATGATCAGTGTACATGTCCCCTCTGAGGGATGCCGATTACCGATCAGTGTGACAGCTCGTGAGGAGAGAAATGCCGACAACCGGCATTTCCTTTTTTACATGCCATCAGCTGTGATTAGACACAGCTGATCACATGACCGAGCCGACATCTTCGGCTCTTTCCGTTGATCGGTGATCCGCTGTGTCCGAGGGACACAGCACACCGCCCATCACCTCACTGCGCACTCCCGGAGCCGTCCATACGCGGTTAGAATGGGAGGACGTCATATGATGTCCTCCCAGAACGAGAGAACCGCCGTTCGTCCGTCATTTTACTATATGGCGGGTGGGAGGCGGGTAAAACCATTAATGTTTACTTTTTTTTGCTTTTTAGCTTTTTGCTAAGTGTTTTTTTTTTTTTTTTTATAAAAAAAGCATTACATTGTAACTTAATTTTGCAATGGTTTGTACCAGAATCAAACTTTTTTTTCATTCTATATGGGACAAATCTATACGTTTATCTATAGTGACACTGTTTTTTGTAGCTAACACTAATCACAGTAGAAAAAATAATGTTTTTCCCTATCTTTTTGTCTTTAGATGGGATTGAAGAATAAATAATTTTGCCAGACAATAAAAAAGCCTTGTTTGTCTATCAAAAATTATATATGTGTAGCGCTCACCCCTTAAAGACTGCTGAATTTGGTTGGGCCCCCCCCCAAGCTCTGCACAGTCAACAACACACATTCTCCACATCGTCACACACAAAGTCAGTAAAACAGTCCTTGAGCTGGTTTTTTGTTAATTTTTTTATTGAGGGGTTACCATCTTGGATGGGGTATAGAGGTACACGGGATGCCCAAGGAACTGCAAACTTGAGGACAAACGTCTTAGCAAACTGTACACTGCACAAAAATGTGGATCAGAAAAAACTGCACCGTCTATTTAGGGACCACTGAAGTCTCCTTGATGTTCCTCCTCAGACCCCAGATGAATCCTTCCTCCTTCACCTGGCTGCACTGAGGGTATCCCTGGGCAAGGAATTCCAAGCTTTGTCACTTAAGTAGTGCTGAATGAGAACTAGTTGGGTATTGCACCTGAGTGCCCTCTCCCTTTATCTGGCAGAGGAGGTGTAGAAGTACTCACATTGTCCTGTTTTGTTACCTTGGTGGGTTGTAGCTGCTTTCAGGCCTTACGTTGGACTAACTTCTTCCCTACTGACAGGGTTGTCCTCCCTAGGAGACTTGGCACAGTAGAGATCCTTCTGTCAAGCAACCAGCCGTAGGTAGGCTCCCCTTCATGGGGCCCCCTCCCAGGTTCCACTGTCCAGCACCTTCCTTCATTCCATCTTCCACCTGACTGCCCTGCTGTACAGGCTCTGTCATATTTAAAGGTTGCCCTTGGCCACCATGCCCAGCCTCCTGCCTGGGGATTGGCCAAGTCTCTCTAAACATACAAATCTGGGCCTCCTCCCCTCCTCTGACCCTCTTTCAGAAAGTGCCAGAAGTTTCTGGAATGGTGGGAGGGATCCAGAAGCCCTGACCTATAGAGCCTGTCCTAAGGTGAACCCACTACCTCACTCCCATATGTACATACATACGTATTACTCTGTAATTCTAAGTAATGACAGGGTTATCATGGGAGGTGAAGGGGGGTTCTTGGCTGGGGCCTCATACTAAGGTTCTAGAGGTTTTTCAACAAAGAACAAAGTCTATTTTTGGATTTACTTTGACCAATCAGTGCTATATTGATTTACACTGTGCTCTTAGTAAAATGCTATTAACATGTTTACCAGATGGGGAAAAGACAAAAAAATGCCTTTATTAGACTGCAACTACTTCTTAATTGTCCAGCTATAGGCTGGAATGCATCTTGGACCAAATGTATTTCAACTGCATTGTAGCAAGTAGGTAGGTCCAGGCTAGTTATGCTGTCTGGCAGGGTTTTCTGGCTCACAATACATGCTGATCAGGATTTAAAATCCTTTATTTTTTATGGAACACATAAAATAAAACAATGGTTTATGCAAGTGTGTCTGGCTATCATAGCATACCCATCCCAGCACTGATCTATAAACAGCGGAGATCAGGAAAATCTAGATTAATTCAAGCCCTCACTTCTAGTATAAAGTAAATAATTTCTGTATTATAGAGTTTACATATATTGCTTCCTTTGGACTGGACAGAATGTCAAATGTTCCACACCATGTTAAGCTCCATTTACAAAAAATATCCCAAATAGAGCTTACCTCCCAAGAATTCTAATTTACAAATCAAGTAGTAAAGTTTATCAACATTTTGTGTGATCTGTTTAAATACAGGGGAATTGAGGATGATAATGTGTAATATTTTGAACTAAAAAAGATTGCAATGTAAGAAAAATAGATACAAAAGACAGTAAGCAAAAAAAAACAAATATGCATGCACATATGTCTAAAGTAAATATGTTATTTTACTACTTACCAATGACATACAGTCTATGGGACTTTGCTATTTTTTTGTTTTTGGGAATGGATATTATGTTAATGGTGACATTCCATTAGACCTTGCCCTGGCAACACATGAACCTTAAATTGAATATAAAGAGACAGAAAGTTAGGCCTGAGAAGGTTTGCTCCCTTCACATTGGATCTCCTTTCTCTTGGTACAATAAAATGCTGTTTTATGGTCTGTGTATTTTAAGAAACCTCTTTTTTTTTCCAAGGAGAAAGGCTGCACTTTCATTCCAGTGGTAAGATAAACACAGCTATAGGGCAGTGCAGAGCTGTGGTCAGGTCTAAATATTGGCTCACAGCCACAAAGAACTTTGGAATCTCTCTTTACAGACAAGCGTTGACCTGGACTCTTAGTCACATGAATTAAACCTTACATTCTACTGCCAGCACCTTGCTGAAACTTTTTTTTTTTTAAATTCTCCTTTACTTCTCTTTTTCATGATGCTTTTTCATTATATCTCATTTTCCCATCATCATCTTTTACTTTCATTTCCTTCACACCACAAGATAAATAGATAAATAGATAGATAGATAGATAGATAGATAGATAGATAGATAGATAGATAGATAGATAGATAATTAAAGCTGAACTCTAGGTAAAATAAAAATTGACCCTTGCATCATGGCTTCCTCTGCACTGCAAGGAACACTTTTAATCACAGTGTAACATCAAGGTGTACTGGATGGGCAACAATGAGACAACCCCCAAAACGGGAATGGTTTTACAGGCCACTAACATTTTTTTCCCTACTCATCTTTTCGGACTGTTTTTCACTAGTTTTGCATTTGACTAGGGTAAGTGTCACTATTGGTAGCATGAGGCGATGAATGAACCCTACAGAGGTTGCACAAACAGTCCAACTCCTCCACGATGGCACATCAATATGTGTCATTGCCAGAAGGTTTGCTGTGTGTCCCAGCATAGTCTCAAGAGCATGGCGGAGATTCCAAGAGACAGGCAGTTACTCTAGGACAGCTGGACAAGGCAGTAGAAGGTCCTTAACCTATCAGCAGGAGCAGTATCTGCTCCTTTGTACAAGGAGGAACAGGATAAGCATTGCCAGAGTGAATATTCCATTTAACCCTAAATGACCTCCAGCAGGCCACTGGTGTGAATGTCTCTGACCAAACAGTCAGAAACAGACTTCATGATGGTGGCCTGAGGTGGCCAACGTCCTCTAGTTGGCCCTGTGCTCACTGCCCAGCACCATAGAGCTTGATTGGTATTTGCCATTGAACACCAGAATTGGCATGTCCCTGTGATTTTCACAGATGAGAGCAGGTTCACCCTGAGCACATGTGACAGACATGGAAGGCTCTGGAGAAGCTATGGAGAACATCATGTTGCCTGTAACATTGTTCAGCATGACCATTTTGGTGGTGGGTCAGTGATGGTCTAGAAAGGCATATCCATGGAGGGATGCACAGACCTCTACAGGCTAGACAATGGCACACTGACTGTCATTAGGTATTGGGATGAAATCCTTGGACCCATTGTCAGACCCTACGCTGGTGCAGTGGGTCCTCATGGTGAGAGTATGCAGGAGTATGCATCATCTCATTAGGAGCATGCCCCGATGTTTTCAGGCATGCATACAAGCACATGGGGGCCATACAAACTACTGAGTACCATTTTGAGTTGCTGCAATGAAATTTCAGCAAAATGGACTAGCCTGCTGCATAATTTTTTAACTTTGATTTTTGGGGTGTCTAAATTCAGCCCTCTGTAGGTTGATTTCATTCCCATCAAACTATGGGGCATCCTTACATTCCTATAGTGCCGCGCTCCTATTTGCTTTATATATATATACACAGTTGCAAGAAAAAGTATGTGAACCCCTTGGGATTGCGTGGAGTTTTGCATGAATTGGGCATAAAATGTGCTCTGAACGTCATCTAAGTCACAACAATAGAAGAACACAGTCTGCTGAACATAATACTACACAAACATTAGATGTTGCCATGGTTTAATTGCACATAACATGTAAACATTCACAGTGCAGGGAGGAAAAAGTATGTGAACCTTTGGACTTAATAACTGGTTGACCCTCCTTTGGCAGCAATAACCTCAACCAAACGTTTCCTGTAGTTGCAGATCAGACCTGCACAACGATCTGGAGTCATTTTGGACCACTCCTCTTCACAAAACTGTTTCAGTGTAGCAATATTCTTGGGATGTCTGGTGTGAATCGCTCTCTTAAGGTCATGCCACAGCATTTCAATTGGGTTGAGGTCAGGACTCTGACTGGGCCACTCCAGAAGGCGTATTCTGTGCTGTTGCAGCCATTGTTTTGTTGAATTACTTGTATGCATTGGGTCATTGTCCTGTTGCATCACCCATCCTCTGAGGAGCTTCAGTTGGCGGACAGATGGTCGTACGTTTTCCTGCAAAATGTCTTGATAAACTCTGGAATTCATTTTCCCATCAATGACAACAATCCATCCAGGCCCTGAGGCAGTAAAGCAGCCCCAAACCATGATGCTCCCTCCGCCATGTTTCACAGTGGGGATGAGGTTTTGATGTTGGGTGTGCTGTGCCTTTTTTTCTCCACACATAGTGTTGTGTGTTCTTCCCAAACAACTCAATCTTGGTTTCATCTGTCCACAGTATATTTTGCCAGTAGCGCTGTGGAACATCCAGGTGCTCTTTTGCAAACTTCAAACGTGCTGCAATCTTCTTTTTGGACAGCAATGGCTTCCTCCGTGGTGTCCTCCCATGTACTCCATTC